AACATCCTTCTTTCCAGGTGCCTCCACCCGATTTTTGTACTGCAGAGCCCAAGGGGTTCCAGGTGCCTGAGCCCAGAGAACGAGGACCCCAAAACCACCCTCCCTGCTGCAGCATTGCCCAGGACACCCCAATACCCCATCACCTGACTGGAGCTGCAGCAAAGCAGCATCCTACCCCCACGGCCAGATTTCCAAATGCAAATCCCCCATCCCTGCTCAGGCAGAGTGAGACAGGACCCTCCCGTGGGACTCACGAGACTTGTTGATCATTTTTATCAGCAGGACAGGGGTCAGGCGAGGGCCGGAGCTCTCATCGCGGCTGTTCACCTGCGGCAGGAAAACAGGGAATGGTGTCAGGTGGGGGTGGAACCCACCGGAGCCATCCCCAAAACCCATCCAAGAGGCATCACCCCCTGCCTGCCCTTCCACGCCGGCAGCCCAGCGGGTCCCCAAGGGATTGATTTGTTCCAATTCCCATTTCTCTGCCTCGCAGCCACCAAGGGGTTGGTTTATAGAGTTTACAAAGCCAGGCAAGCGGCTGTGCTTCCCGGGAGCTTCAGCCTTACAGGTTAAACACCAAAGGGGGAAAAAAAAGGAATAAAAGAGGAAAACCAAGTCCCCAGTGGGACTTCAACCACAAAATTCCTTGAGGAGAGATTTTAAGCCCAGCTTAAGCATCCACCTGGCACCAACAGGTACGAAGCCAGTGTGCCGCTGCCACCACCAAGCCAGGCAGGAAGGACAGGAGCAGCCAAGCAGGATCAAAGCAGAGTGCCACGTACTTGGGGAACCTCCAACGCCTTCGATCCACCCATCCCAGCCCAGGGAAAAGGGGTGCCACAAGCTCAGTGCCCACGCAAACACCAGCCAGGGAAGTGGGGTGACGTTTTTCTTCCTCCCAAACCCCTCACTCCTGGAACAAGGAGCAAAGAGCCCTGGTCGGAGTCACCCCAGGATCAGCTCACCCCATCCCACCAGGACATGGCAAGGATGGAAAACTGACTTACCGGGTGGGAGAAGCTTTTTGGGCTTTACTCCCAGGGGGGAATCCTGCTCTAAGCCCACCTCAAGAGCTGGGCTTGGCTTTGCCACCCGGTACCCAAGCTGCTCCAGCTCCGACCGGCCACGTCTCGGTGCAGGAGAGGAAGAGGAGTGTTAAATGCCAGCCGAGGATAAGGTGCACGCCCGGGCTGGGCCATCAAAACAGCCTCTCAATCAAAGTCTCCGGATCAGTCACGAGGGATTAGTCACCTGGCGAGGGGGGGATACCCACCTCGGCACCCCTCCCTGCCTAACGCAGCACCGCTAACGATCCTGGCACCTGCTGCCCAGCGGGGCCACGGCCTCGCCCAGACCAGGGGGAACCAAGAGCAGTGGTTCTGGGGGCTAAAACTTATCAAGAAAGAGGAGAAATGGGACCAAAGGTGATCTCACAAGAGCCAGGCTCTTCCCTTCCTTGTCACAGGCTCCTGGAATAATTAAGGCAGGAGGGCAATTAATTAAAAAGGGCAGGAAGGGCAATTAAAAGGGAATTAAGGACAATTACACTGCACTACAAGTAACGGGACGGGACACCAGGCAAGGAGAATTGTGTCCATTTGACAGCAGAGGGATAGGAACAGAGCTGTCCTCCTGTAAAGTGGTCCTCTGGGAAAGCATCTGGGAAGCCACTTTTTTGTATATCACAGATAATCGTCCCCACCTTCACCTGGGGGGTCCCAGGAAGGGGGAAGCAACACTCCCCGATCCCATGTAACACCCTGAGTCTCATCCTATGTCTGTATTTCTGGCTCAACAAGCCCCTCCTGCTTGGGAAGACAAAATCCACAACTGGATCTCAGAGGTAGGAGCAAGCAGGGAGGAGATGCTCAGGGGGGGTCTCACCCCTTTACACGTTACAATTGCTTGGCAAAAATAAAATCAGGGAAGAGCAAAAAGCAGTTTGTGCTTCCTTGGGGGTTTTGGTTCTTAGCAAAACTGCCCACCAAAGCCCCAAGGGGAAATGCACCGCTGCAGTTGGAGGCTGGCAATGCTCCCAGGGGGGCTGAGCACCCCTACTCACCCAGGGCTCGGATGCTGCCAGGCAGCAGGACCTGAATTTAGCACAAATTCACCCCCAAGCCAAAACACCCAAGTGAGCTCTCTGCACCCCTCCCACTGTTGGAGACACTGGGAAAATCCAGTCTGCCCCCAGTGTTTGCCTTTACATACCAGCTTTTTTTAAATATTATTTTTTGAAGGCTTTATGATCTTTTCCCAGGCTTGTACACACAAGCTGGGCCTGATGCACAACTTATCTAAGGCAAGCACAGCCAATAATCCCAAACGTTGTTTGCTGAAGCGTTCAGGGAATGCAGAGCAAAACAGAGCACATCCAGCTGCCCCCACGCCCACGGGGCCTCTGGAATGAGCTCAGGCTCCCCCAGCCCTGTGCTCCCACATCCTCAGCCCAAACCTGAGCAGCTGCTGAAAGCAGGAAGGTCTCAATGCCCCGAGGACACTCCAGGGCTGCTGGAGGAAGCAATGCCAAAGGGTCCTGCTGCTCCCCACAGCAACCCTGGTCCTGCAGTGTCCCCAGAACCCCCATTCAGCATCCTCAGTTCCCCAATATCCCTGGTCTTGCAGCATCCTTGATCCCCCACAGTGTCCTCTAAGTGCCCCCCAGCATCCCTGTCCCATCGCAGCATCTTCAGACCCCACGGTGTCCTCAGAGCACCCCAGAGTGTCCCTGTCCCACCACAACATCCTCACAGCCCCCCCAGTGTCCCTATCCCATCACAGCATCCTCAGAGTCCTTAGCATCCCTGTCCCACCTCAGCATCCTCAGGGCCTCCTGTAGCATCCTCAGAGTTCCCCCCAGTGTCCCTGTCCCACTACAGCATCCTCAGAGCCCTCTGCACCATCTCTGTCCCATCAGAGCATCCCGAGAGCCCTCAGCATCCCCGTCCTACCTCAGCATCCTCAGGGCCTCCTGCAGCATCCTCAGAGCTCCCCACAGAGTCCCTATCCTGTCACATCATGCTTGGAGCCCCCTGCAACCATCCCTGTCCCATCACAGCACCCTCGGAGCCCACACAGCATCCCCCATGCCCCCTAACACAGATCCCTCACCACAACATGCTTCTTGGATCCCCCACCTCAGCATCCCCATCCAGCAGGGACTGTGAGCTCACCCCTCTCACCAACAGGATTGATCACAGCCCCCTCAGGGTCAGTCCAGGGCATCACCTGCCCCACCAAGCCCTGGAGCTGGGGGGAAAGTCCCAGGTGGATTCAGCTCCCCACGCTTGGAAAAAACACCTGGAAAAGCCCCTCTCTTTGATGTCAGAGGATGCACCCCCCACAGCACCCCGGGCTGGGTATTATCACTGTACAAAGGGCTCAAAAGCCTCACCACACCCATCTCCACTTTCCCCACCACATATTCCAGGAAAGCCCCATCCCAGGATGCTGCACAGGCAACCACAGCCAAGCCTCATGGAGTTTCTCTGTCTCCCTCCAACCTGGAGCAAGGCTTTGCCTCCCAGTTTCCCCATGTCCCCTGGGAGGTGCCAACAACCCCCACAGGAACTGACCCTCCTGCCATGGGGGACCTTGGAAGAGTTCATCCCTGTATCTCCATCAATCCATCCATCCCCATCTCCCCCTTCCTCAACTGCTCCAGCATCTCTGGATTTAAGTCATGTCAGTCCACAAAGTAGCAGCAGGCACCAGTCAAGCTGCTCTGAAGACAAAAAATAGAAGGGATTTAAAGCCAGGGAGCAAGCACACAGGTTGGGGGTGGTTATAAATCCCCTCACCCCTCCCAGCATGGATGGATGGTGATCCCAGGCACTCAGTGCCATCCCAGCAAAGCATCACGGATCAGCAGGCCATGCAGAGAAAGCTCTTGGTACTTTTATGTTTCCATGGTAACCCATGGATTGGGAAAAGCGTGACACCAGGCGAGGACACCTCTCCTGTGCTCCCACCATCCCATCCCACGTGTCCATGGGACACGGAGCCGCCCACGGCCTGGTCCAGCTTCCCTGGGCGAGAACGATGCTCGCTGGGGAATAAGCGTCTCTGACAGTTTATCCCCAAAAAAACATGCATTTATTTTAACTGGAAGAGAGTAGGATAGTGCCTGAGAGAAGGATGCATCCCTAAGGATTTACTCTCAGAAGTGAGAACCGATGGGAGACAGACAGCTGGAATAGCACAGATCCCTTTGATCCCAGTCAGACCATCTCTCCTGAGCTTTCCAGGAACATGGAGCTTTCAGGAATGAGCAGGACAGATCATGTGTTCTTTGGAGGACAACAACCAGGGCTGACCCCCATGGAAGCAATTTACAGCCCTGGGACTATCCAAGCCCCATCCCACGGGTTTCCTGCAGGCAGCAGGGCTGGGAGTGCCTGAGGAGCCCAGCAGGTGCTGGATTATCCCCCATGCCAGCCCGGCCACATCCTGCCCCGGCAGAGCCATCGCGTGTCGGAGCCTGAACGCAACCTGGGAGGCAGCTGGGGGCAATCCTGCAGGGACAGGATCCATCCGGCTCCAGGCACAGGTTGGGCTTGGCTTGGCACAGCATCAAAGGTACCCAAATCCCCAGCCTGGCATCCCAAACCTTCCTCGCCCCAGCAGCTGTGAGCTCCAGGTGCTCGGGGAATTTTTTTTTCCAAGCTGGGAAGAAAACTGAGAACCACAATGGGAAGAAAATCCTTGTGGGATTGCAACAACCACTAATGCAAGCCCAAAAAAGCAGCAGAGTCTGGATCTGAGCCCCCTCCAATGGGATGAAGATGTTGGGAGAAAACTGAGGTGAGAAACAGAGAGGTAAGGAAACCTCCAGCCCTTCAGAGCTTCCTCTTGGAAGCACCTTCCCTGCCAGGGCTCGAGCACCAGCTGGGACAGAGCCTCACTGGTCCTGTCCAGGCCCCCCTTCCCCACCTGCATCACCCTTCCCTGCACTGAACCATGCTGAGATTCTTCCTCACGTGTTTTTTGGGGGGAGAGCCATAACTCCTGCCACCCCCTGTCCACTCTACTGGCACAGGGGGAAAGGCAAAGCTGGCTTCCAGTGACTAACCGGGATAGCAGCAGGTTCACTCCACCTGGATGGTTTATTTTCCCACTAACTCTACCCAGATGCCTCTTCTTCCTGCTCACATCACCTGTATGGCTCTTCCCACTAACTCCACCTGGATGGCTCATTTTCCCACTAACTCAACTTGGATGTCTCTTCTTCCTGCTCACACCACCTGGATGGCTCTTTTTCCTGCTCAGACAACCTGGATGGCTTATTTCCCTCCTCAGCCTCCCTTACTACTCACTATCTGGGATAACTACTCGGGATGCAGAGCAGCTGCTCCTGCAGAGAGGCTTTTCTCTGAGAGGGAGCATGGCAGGAGGGTTTCTATGTATGGCAGCTTCTCAGCAGTACTCTTCCCTGCTCCACAGCTTTAAATCCCATCCCAGGGTACCAGGGATGACAAAAACCAGCAGGGCAGAGCAATGGCAGGAGTGGAACCTGCAAGCACTGTGGGCCAGGGGAATGCAGGAGGTCATGAGGACACAGCACTGCAAAAGTCAGTCCTGCTGGACACCAGGCACGGCCCCGCCGAGGGCACAGACCCAGCCCAGCCCGTGCACTGATACCCACATTTATCCTATTTTAAGAGCCCTGCGAGTCACTTCAAAGGAATCTTAATTACCTCTTCAGAGGGAAGGCAGCGCCGTTTCCTCAGCCTGTGGTATCCCAGGCATACAGTAACCCAGCCAAAGATTTATGATAGGGGAAAACAACCCCTCATTGGCATGTGAGCTCTGACAA